AGCGTGGTGTTGAAACGCAGGAGATCATTTTTGAACTCTCTGGCGTTGGGCTAAGTTCCCTTTTGAAATTTTGTTACAGAAGAATTCTTTTGAAGTGTGGATGGTTTTCATGTTAAAAAAATGGTAGAAGTGATTGATTATCATATTGTGGAGTAGATAGTCGGGCAATGAATTTTGAGATAGCTGGATTCTGCTGCTAAAAAGAGGTCCCGAATCTTGAATGTCATGGGAATGAGATGGTGATGGCATCATCTTGAAGCTGGTCTTATGACCTTTGCACTGTGAGAGTGCCAAGTTACTGAAGCAGGTCTATACCATGAGAGACCATTTCGACCTACTAGTTAGGTGATCTGTAGCACAAATCGGTTTAAGTATTTTTTTAACCATGAAAAAAATGAAAAGGTAACATAAATGTTTTTAAGAAACGAAAAAAAAAAAACTCTGGATTTGAGTTATTTACGTGATTGAATTTAATTAGTTTAGTTAATTTAATAATATTACTAAAAAAATGCAATGTTAATAAATAAACACATCAAAAAATCTAATCATCTCAAATCTGCAATATCATCATGATACTAAAATAACTTTGTTAAAACCAAATAAAATAAAATTTTAATGCTTAATTATCAAACAATTTAATATTAAAAGGTAAAATTGAATAAATAAATTAATTAATTAAAAAATAAAAAATAAAAGATCTGAGTTAACTTGCAAACTTGACGACTATAAATATAGGATTGAGATAATCCCATAAAAATAAAAATACAAAAAAAAAAAGCATGATAACCAATTCTTAATAAATTAAATGTTAAAAGATAAAATTAAAAAAATTAATTTAAAAAAAAGACTTAAAAAGGATTAAAGTTATCCTATGTTAACTTTCAAAACCTGTTACTTTAGTTATGAGTTCAAGACTAACTTCATGTAAGGCAATTTTAAAATGACATGCAAAATTCTCAATCAAATAAATGTCAAGAGATAAAATTTAAAAAAAAAACAGAATTCAAAACCAATAAATAGCAACAAAAAAAATGAGAATTAGATTTCACATAAAAATGAATTGAAATCAAATATTGAGGGATGAAATTGAAAAAAATTCAATTAAAAAATAAAAAAAATAAAAAAATAAGGACCAAATACAATATAATGATTAAATGAAATTAAATGATAAGGGACAAAATTGAAGAAAAAAAATCAATATAAAAGATAATAAAATAAAATAAATAGTAATAACAAAATAAGAATTAAATTAAAAAAAAAATGATAAGAAACCTTTATTTTTTTGCATGCTAGTGCAAAACTTGAGAAGAAAAGAGAGAAAAGAAAAGAGAATAAAAAATATTCACTAGATTTTAACTGTTATGTCATAATGTATACGTGCTTGACAACCAAGAAAAGCATGTTAGGATGCTTCTAATATAGCCATAAAAAGTGACATTTCACTATTTTATATTGTCCCACACATTGTTTGAAGAAGATGAGGGGCTCTTCACACGCTAACATATGTGTTATATGAGCTAGTTATTTTTTATTTATTAAAATATTAAATTTTTTTAATCAATTTGATTATAATTAAAAAGTTATAATGAAAATATAAATAATTTTTTGGATGTGAGTTTAAATTTTATTTTTAAAAGCAATTTAATTATTTTATTATTATTAAAAAATTGATTTGTGCTTGATAAATTTAATAATAAATAACAAACCTTGTAAAGATATCATATCACCTTCAATAGTCAGGTTAATGTTTTTTTTTTTTTGTATACAGAATCTTTACTATTGTGCTTAACTAATCACTCAAATCCCTTTGGTTAATGACATAATTATAAAAATAAAGCATGTAAATAAACAACATACACATGAACATATTGACTTACATATTACCTGCAAATATATTTTATTTACATTCTATTGTTTCTCTTGCTTATTTGTACATTCATAATTATTCATATTCCTCTTTCATAGTACACTTTCTTCTTGAACAACATATGCACCACATCATGTAAATCCAAATTTGTCTTATAAATTCATTTATTTTCATCAAGTTTTGAATACTAAATGTTCTTTAAAAAACAACTTAATATTAAAAGATAAAATTGAATAAATAAATAAAAAACCAATAAAAAAAGATCTGAATTAACTTGCAAACTCGACGACTATAAACATAGGATTGAGATAATCCCATAAAAATAAAAATACAAAAAAAAAGAGCATGATAACCAATTCTTAATAAATTAAATGTTAAAAGATAAAATTAAAAAAATTAATTTAAAAAAAAGACTTAAAAAGGATTAAAGTTATCCTATGTTAACTTTCAAAACCTGTTACTTTAGTTATGAGTTCAAGACTAACTTCATGTAAGGCAAACAAAAAAAGTAACGAAGCAAAATTCTCAATCAAATAAATGTCAAGGGATAAAATTGAAAAAAAAAAGATTCAAAACCAATAAATAGCAACAAAAAAAATGAGAATCAGATTTCACATAAAAATGAATTGAAATAGGGATGAAATTGAAAAACATTCAATTAAAAAAATAAAAATAAATAAAAAAAGGACCAAATACAATATAATAATTAAATGAAATTAAATGATAAGGGACAAAATTGAAGATAAAAAATCAATATAGAAGATAAAAAATAAAATAAATAGTAATAAAAAAATAAGAATTAAATTAAAAAAAAATGATAAGAAACCTTTATATTTTTGCATGCTAGTGCAAAACAAAAAAAGAGAGAAAAGAAAAGAGAATAAAAAATATTCACTAGATTTTAACTGTTATGTCATCATGTACATGTGCTTGACAATCAAGAAAAACATGTTAGGACACTTTTAATATAGCCATAAAAAGTGACATTTCACTATCTTATATCGTCTCACATATTGCTTGAAGAAGGCGGGGGCCTCTTCATACGCTAACATATGTGTTATATGAGCTAATGATTTTTTATTTATTAAAATATTAAATTTTTTTAATCAATTTGATTATAATTAAAAAGTTATAATGAAAATATAAATAATTTTTTGGATGTGAGTTTAAATTTTATTTTTAAAAGCAATTTAATTATTTTATTATTATTAAAAAATTGATTTGTGCTTGATAAATTTAATAATAAATAACAAACCTTGTAAAGATATCATATCACCTTCAATAGTCAGGTTAATGTTTTTTTTTTTTTGTATACAGAATCTTTACTATTGTGCTTAACTAATCACTCAAATCCCTTTGGTTAATGACATAATTATAAAAATAAAGCATGTAAATAAACAACATACACATGAACATATTGACTTACATATTACCTGCAAATATATTTTATTTACATTCTATTGTTTCTCTTGCTTATTTGTACATTCATAATTATTCATATTCCTCTTTCATAGTACACTTTCTTCTTGAACAACATATGCACCACATCATGTAAATCCAAATTTGTCTTATAAATTCATTTATTTTCATCAAGTTTGGAATACTAAATGTTCTTTAAAAGCTACTTATATATATACACACACACACACACATATAAAATTATCCATCCTTCATTTGGAACAGAATACTAAACTCCATTTGACTTTAAAATTGGCTCATATTCACTCAAGAATAGTAATTGTTCTTTAAAAGCTACTTTTACATATATATATATATATTAGATGTGTTGGTCAATGCATGTGCTCCTCTCGATCCTGAGCCCGCACAACCTATAGATTTGGTGTTGTTACTAGATCTAGATGGAAAAAAGATGACCTCCTATATATAGTGCAAGCTCACTAAAACAACCACCGCGCGCCAATATATCTTCAATTTGTTTGTTTTTTTTGGATGATATTGAGATATTTCATAAACTTCGTGATCAAATTGAACTTTACAAACCTGATGGAAATGATAGTAGGAAGAAATGGAAGATATAGGATATAATTAAAGTTAATCAAAAGTTTTAGATGAAAATAAGAAAACATGTATATTTTGAGGGAATAAATTGAAATTTATCCATGAGTTATTATTAATTAACAGTTAAGCGTCTGCTGCTTTGTTTATTATATAATAATGATAACATGTTGTTTGGTTGTAAAATCAACCATAATTTTTATGTGTGAACTCTATTATTATCTTCGTTAAAAAAACCATTTTGTTAAAGCAGAAATTACATGCTTTTTCTTCACGTTCTTGCCTTTGCTATTTCTTAGGCGCATCATACTAATTAATTAGCTTGAACAGTATAGTATCTACATTATTTTGACCGGCCGGTTCTGCTCCAAAACTTATAATATATTGAAACAGGTACAATCCAGTAAAATAAAAAATAAAAATTATTTTTTATTTTTTAATTATATTTTATTTAAAAAATTAGTGTTTAATATTATTTAATAACATTATATAAATTAGACAGAGATCGCTTGATGACATAACATTTGTAAAATTTGATCGCAATTCTAATTTTATTCCTGATGTTATTGTGCGCTTAAGAAACCAAAAAAAATATAATCCTTGTCATATGTATTTCATATATGATAAAATTATAGATAGTTTAATGAAATAATAAAAAATATTTTATATAAAATATTATTTAAATTAAAAACTGTTAATATTAATATATATTTTTTAAAATTATTTTATAACCTCAATTTTAAAAGCATGTATTTAACCAAACACATTAAATTATTTTTTATTTAACTTTAATTTTAACCATAATTTTAATCAAATATATGTAAATATTAACTTTAATTAAAAATATTTTTATTATATATGTAAATATTAACTTTAATTAAAAAAAATTTTATTAAATTTTTTTTTTTCAAATCATAACTATAACTATAATAGCTACCAGTATAATATCAAATACACTCTAAATAGCCGTGGAGCATGCTGCCATCCTCTCCAAATACGTGTACGAGCTGGAAATTCAACAAGAAACTCAATAATGTACCAGGCGTAGACCTAGCACTTTCTTTTCATTGCTGTCTATTGTTTAGTAATTAACTTCATGAATCAATATCTTTCCCATCTCCATATATATGGTAGGAGAGATATTAAATGAATCAACTCTCTCTATCTCTCTCTCTCTGTAAGAAAAACGGACAAAAATGGTCAAACAAATCTCATTGTTTTGGCTCATCTTTGTCTTCTCCTCCCTAACATTCTCACATGCTAGATCTCTCTCTCTTACCTTGCTGCAGCCCCATGGTCCGAAATCCTTCAATCCCAAAAATATTCAGGTATGGAGCAATCGAAATTAGCATTTCTTTTGACATGATTTTTTATTCACATTATTCAGAAGGCTTGTATAATTGCTTATTTTTCCTTCTTTTTTTCAGGCTGCAAAGAGCTGTCCATACACTCTTGTTATAAAGACCAGCTGCACCTCTACAACTTACACCAGAGACAAAATCAGTCTAGCTTTTGGTGATTCCTACGGCAACGAGGTTAGTATGCAACCTAGTTTAGTTCTACATAAGATCTAATATATCCTGGGTCTGGATTCATGTTTGCTTAGTTGCTAATGAGCTGTAAGAAAATGTAAAGAAACCAGCAGCACAAGAACAGTACATCTCCAGCCTAATCAGATTTTCATTGCTACGTACAGATCTTGGCACCAAAATCTAAAATGAACCCATGAAAGGAAAATAAATTCTAGTTAAAGGGTCTGATCTGATTTTAAAAACTGTTTAATAGATTGATTGATTCTTTTAGGTCTATATGAAGAGGCTTGACGATCCATCTTCAGGAACATTTGAGAGGTGTTCAACAGATACATTCCAGATAAATGGACCATGTGTTTATGATATCTGCTATCTATACATGCTTAGAACAGGATATGATGGCTGGAAACCTCAGAGCGTGAAGATCTACGGTCCATACACCAAGACTGTTAAATTCAACTACAACAAATTCCTTCCGAATGGGGTTTGGTATGGGTTTAATGTCTGTGTTCGTGCATCTCTGTCAACGGCAATTATGTAGACGACAATATGATCATGATGATGATTGTTGTTGTGTTTTGTTAAACATATTATGATAATAACTACTAATGGGCTTGTCATATAGTTGAGGATTGACCTCGTTACCAAGACCTTGTTGATCATGGTTATTCTTGAGGGTTTATTTTCATGTAATCCTCTAATAAAAGCACCGAGAGCCTATTCTTTAGTAAATTGAAGAAATTCATTTAATTATAGTGCTTGGACTCTTTTCGAGCAGCCTTGTGACATGAAGATAATAAAATAATTTATCATTTTTTAAGATTATTATTTTAAGCACTTTTTAAATCTCAGTATGCTTGCCAGAAAATGGTGTATTTATTTATATTTAAGAGTTAAAACTAGTTACATGACCACGCTATGATTTCAATTTAATTTCTAATACAAGAAAGGAAGATGTTGATGCTATGAATATATTTTTTAGTGTCATGAAATATTTTAATTGAGAAGTAAAAAGATTATATTTAACTTAATATAGTGAATTAAAAAATATATAAACTGATAAATCATAAAAAAAATATTATAAACGCTAATTAAAAACAAAAATGAAAAGTTAAAATTTATAATAAGAAGTAAAAAATAAATACATATCTAAATATTTTACAATTATAGACTACATAGAATCAAATTACACTGGTTAATTAATGGTAAAATAGGTGTAATAAACTATGAAAAAGAAGAAAGAACGAAGGCAACGAGACTAGATTCTTATCCTTCACTGGAAAACAGGGAGGGAAAGTCCTTCGAAGAGCAGAAATTTGCATTGAGGGAAGGCCATTGCCATTGATTTTCCGGGTGCAAAACTGCTAACACCAGAGCTATTCTTTTAAGTTAAATATAGTTTTTATTTATTCTACAATAATTAAAATAAATATTCAAAAGTGTTCAAATGATTTAAATTCTGAAAGAAAGATTTACCTCTTTATTCAAAATTCTCATTTATTATTTAGACATTTTTTTTAATCAACAACATGGTTTTTTGAATAAAAACTTAGAGTAATTAAAATAATTATTCATAAAAATTCAAATAATGTAAATTCATGAGAAAAAAATATTTTTTTAGTCAAATTCTTATTTTCCTTATCATTTAATTTTATTGTAATGAAAACATGTTTTTTTTTTATTATGAGCATATTGTTTGAATAAAAGATTATCATGAACTGAAAAACAAGTTTCAACAAAATAAGAATAAAAATATAAAAAATCATGTCTTGATAATTTTTATACAACTAAATGGAAAAATAAAAAATAATTAATTTATGAAAACTATGTAAGAATTCATAATATATATATATATATATTTTATTATCATTGACTATTCAAGTATAATCTTTTTAATTACATATTAGATTCATATATAATTATTATAGTCAACTAATTTTGTAAATATCATTATAATTATTTATCTACAGTGGATTTTATTTTAAAAATATCTAAAAAGAATATATGGGTCAAGTGAATGAAGTCCACGTATACCTGTTTTTTTATTTAAAAACGACCAGACACACCTTATTTTTTTATGATAAATAAGTGGATGATGTCATCTTTCGATCATTTTTAATGATGAAGAAATTTGAGTCCCAATTAAAAACCAATATTTTAACTTATTTTCATTTAAAGCACCTTAGTATCTCCATTTTAAATTTCAAAACACTTTTGAATTAATCTAAAAATAAAAAAATCAAATGAAATAATAAAAGAACTTTGCAACCTCATTATTTTAATGCCAATACATGAAAACCTAAAACTATCAGGATAAAAATGTAAAAAACTCTAAGGATAAAATTGAACTTTTATGAAAACTTCAAAGGCCAAATTAAACTGTTAAAGATTGCACGTAGATAAATAGTACAATTCACATTTATTTGTGTTTTGGCATAAACAACTATAAAACACCAAGATCTTTATAATAACTAAAAAGTATTAACCTGTTGTTTGTCAATATTACAACATTGTTTTTTTTGGTGAATGATGGAGTGGGCTGGTCCAACCGATGATCATGTTTAGTGTTTTTTTTTTTTTTCCCTATTCATTTGTGCTGTTGAAGCATTGTTAAATCTTATTTGGTGAGGGATGATAGGAATTTGGGAGTTCGGAAAGTGAGAAGTGGTTTTATTATTCATTGCGTATTCGGTACGTAGAGAAGAAAGGGCGTTTGGAACTCATTTTTACTAAGTGTCTTTTTCTAAAGGGCGTTTGGAACTCATTTTTACTAAGTGTATTTTTCTAAATTAAAAATATTTTAATTGAGCTATGCCCAGCAAGTTAGTAGGGATCTAGCCAATTCAGGATTGAAATTGAATCTGAAGAAAAAATAGAAAAAAAAAATTCGGTGTGATATGATAAAATAACTTGAGTTGACTGCGATAAGATCCGGTTAAAAACTGATTATAACTTATTGATCTTTTTAAAATTAAAAATAACATTGATTTGGATTGATAATCAAATTAAAACTTGAAATCTGAATCTTGAAACGGTCTGAAAGCAATGCAAATAAATATTGAGGGCATGCATTTGTGAAAAATCATTAATGGATTGGCTACGTCGTGGAGAAAAAAGAAAAAGAAAAAGTGTAACTCTGAAATCGTATTTATAAAGTAATAATTTTTTTTGAATGTCTTAAATTTGATGTTAAAAATAATTTTTTTAAAATAAAAAATATTATTTTAATATATTTTGAAATGAAAAGTATTTTAAAAAATAATTATTATAATTCTTAAAAACCCTCTTAACTTTATCAACCGACAAATATCAAATCTAATATAAATAAATATAGTTTTGAACGTTAAAACAAGTTTCTCTTCTCAGTGGGCGCTTGTTTTAGTTATTTGGTGGTTGTAAGGAACCCAAGTGTATTAACAGATAACGCCTCACATGTAAGAAATACTTTCCTTTCCTTTCACTCCAGTGCCCTTCCTATCCATGCCTAGGTAGTAGTTTGCACTTCGTTAACCAAGTGCATTAACTTGGTTCTTACAATTTTCAAAATCCTCTGTTTTCTCCTTAAAAAAATGATGGCTAGTGCTCCGCTATCGACCTTGTGCATTCTCCCTTCGCAAAGTAAGAACCTTTATCCCTAAGTCCATTGAAAAACGCCTCTGGGTTTTTGAATTATAAGTGGTTGTCTCGAATCTTTCATTTTCATTCTTGTTTAACAGATAGGGAAGTGAATGGATATGTGATGAACCTGAGGAGTTCATTCTATGGCAAAGTGATAGCTAATCAAATTCGTATAAAGAAGGAAACTGGAAGTATACGGAGAGACCCTTTTGTTGCTGCTTCAGTGGTTCGTGATTATACTATCGAAATTTTCTATGTTTGATTCATTAGCTCCTTGGTAATTTAATGGGTGTGTTTCTTGTATATGGGCTACTTTCATTTTGATAAATTATTGTTTTTCATATGTTCGCCATGTTTTTATTTTTTTTGACACAGCTTGGAAGGAGAAAGACTGTTGTTCCTGAGCCTGATTACAGAATCCCAGTTGTCTTACTTGGTACGTATATAAGCACTTGATTTTGTGCGCAAAGAGTATGTTGCTTGTGAAAATTATTTCATCAGGAGAATGGCTTGGAGGATTTGAGAAGCATTGTGGTATTAACAATTAAGATTCCACTTTGAACTGACCTAGGAATTTTGCAAGTGGGGTATTTTGATCCGGGTTTCTCTTTTTAGTTAATGATGAATAAGATGGAAAGTAACCAGACCAAGCAGTATAGACAGTAGTGGCATTTCACATGATGAATTGTATGTGTATGGATGTTAATCTTGTGGTCTTTGGATTAAAGTTTTGCTTGGACCAATTAGAGTCTGCATACCGAAACTTGCATTCATGCCTATTAACTAGCCTTATCTTTCTTTTTTCTTGATTGGGTCAACTTGGATTTGGCTTTTGTTCTGTTGATGCTCCATGCCCAAGGGTGATTGGATTTTCGTAGGTTTTTTTAATGCCTGCATTTGTGTAATTAAAAAGATAAACATGAATTAGTAAAAGTTGTTCACTGTCTCTCCTAGTTTCTCATCGTGTGAAACTCTGAGGTTTCTTTGACAAGTAAAGTCTTATATATGATGTGATATTTCTATTCAAACAGGTTTAGCTGGTGGGTTAGCATATACAAATAATCTATTGCCAGCTGCGCCTGCTGGTCTCCTTGGCTTGCTGCTATTGTTCCAGACTACTAGAGTGAGATTTGTTTTCGACGACAAAGCTCTGGTTTGTTGACTTACTTGTACTAATAGTTAATTCTCTAAAAGTTAAGAAACAAAGAGATGAATCCGTGTTAATTTGTTATCTCTATTATAATCTATTCACATCTCGTTCATTACACTTGGTTAACAGCAATGACATGTACTTTGAACAACCCATGTTTTTTAATGACTGAGTTGAGTGAGTTCTATAAGTTATAGGTTTTGATTGAGGCTATTTCAGATTAGTGATAATACATGAGTGCATGTGTTTGTTAGGGTAGCAATTTTGCTTTCCCATTGAAATCGTCTGTAAGTAGTTGCGCAAAAGGATTAATGATGCTTATATTTGAAATCTATTTCTACTGAATTCATTTGTTATGAAACTCAAATCAAGTATAAGAGGTTAGCTGCTGTGAGTTTTTCAATGAATTGAGGAATAAATCTTGCTATCTTGGCTTACTTAAATGGAAATGCACGTAGTTTCTTCTGAGAAATTTGATTTGTGTGGAACCCGATGAATTTTTTTTTCCCAACTTGCAGTCAGTGTCAACTCATATCTTTTATGCATTGTGTGCCGTTGTTGTTGATTTTTCGTTTAGCTGGCATCTCTAGACTTCGTTGTGCTTTACATGGACGTGATATTTGTGGTCATATAGGAGGTAAAAGTAGGTGAGCAGCTTCAGGAATCAGGTGAAAATGTCTTTGTGGGCGGAAAAAACCGTTGGAAGTAAGTCTCTCTGTGCTTCCTACAAATTTGAAGGATCAATGAAGCCTACTCACCCCTCAGTTTACTACAGATATTCGACATTTGTGAATTGGGAACTGTGGTGGCCAAATTTCCCGATTCTGGTGTACTTTAAAGAGACACAGACGAAACCTGAAGGACAAGTGCACTTCTTCCCAGTAATTTTTGTAAGTATATCATAGAAAATAAACACCAGAGCTCCAATGCATCATTACGTTTCTGTCTCCAAAATTTATGATCAATGCTGCTTCTTTTATAAATAGAATGGCAAGCAACTCTATGACGTTATGGTGGAGAGAGCTGGTCCTTCAAAAACTAGTGGACCAAAAGAATCATAAGGCTCGAGCTTCAAGGTTAAACCATCCAGCAATTAGTTTGAGATTTTGGTGCAGTAGTATCAACAAGGTATGCCAGAGTTTTCCGGTGCTTCTGCTGTTACTTCAAGTAGCTGCAACTGTATCTGGCTATTTGGTTAATGAACTCCATGTATAATTATAGAAATCAGAGCAAGAAATTATAGAATGATGGAAATTTGTATATATGTGGATGAGTTGCTTAAATTATTACTCTGCGATGTGAAGCCCCCCTCTCCCTCATGTCCGTGTTGATTTCTGTTGCAGGAAACAGATGCTGCTCCTACTGATTGATTCTTGGCTGTGTAGAAACATGTCTGTATTTTGCAAGTCAGTAGAATTTTGTTAGACGTACATGGGTTTTATTACTACTGCAAAACATGTATGGTCATGAATTCACATGCTCTTTACAAAATATGCACAAACAGGTGCCTGACTTGAAAAAAGTCTCATATAGCAGCAAACCATTGCCTAGTTTTCCTTTGTTCTGGATCCAAGGGATTCTCCCCTTGCATGACCAAATAGACCTCTTCTTTAGATCTTGTCCATCCACCTCGAATTGGATTCTGCACTGATTCTCTCTGTCCTGACTTTCAAGCTTCTTGTTTGGCATGGAAATAACACCAAGAGGATTCATTTTCTTTCCACTTCAATATCAAGTGAACCTAATTTTTGTGCAGTGTTTGTGAACACAATTAAGATTGTGATATAATTGTGAATGTATGAGTCGATACCTTGAAAACGGTTCACATTAATTTTGGTATAGCCTTAATAAAGGTTATGTGAAAAAAAAAAAAATCTCGATTTCAATGGGTTTAAGATTATTAAAGCATGATTTGTGATACCATAGACTAGTTTAGACATGATTTTTTAATTAATATGAATATTTGGATTAGTTTGCGTGTATTTTGATTAATTTTATAAATTTTAAAATTAATAATTATATAAATTTCTAATAATTTAGAGACTTATAAAATTTAAATTAATAATTTTTAAAAAATAAATTTAAGATTTAAACAACTGAGTTACATATAATTATTAAATGATTAACAAAAGAGGTGATTATGGCAATGATGTCACGGATGACAAGTTGTCAGCGAAAATATAAAGTAAAGCTAGTAGTCGAAAAGTATATTAAATGGTATCTTAACTAACAATACCAAGAATAAATGGAAACTGTATACGTGGAAAAAGTTATCATACCTTATGTGAAACGACGGATAGCGGTACAGTGTTAACTAAGGGTGTTGGAACGCTCTTATAAATCGTGTAGTGAAGGTAGTTCTGATAATTTGCATCATTGAAGAGAAATTTAAGTTTGGGATTAAAAAAATAAATGATACAAAAAAATTAATGTGATGTGGAATAAAGAGAATGATATTCATGAATAAATTGAATGGCATTGTTGAAATTAAAATGAGGGTTATAAATCTTAAATTAAAATGTGTAGCGTCATTGAAATTAATAACGAGTTATGATGGATAAAAAAATAAGAAAAAATGAGAAATAATACTAATAAATTAACATGGTAATAAATAATAAACAATAAGAAATAATAATTTAAAAACATAGAAAAGAGTGATGATGTAAGTATTTATTAAAAATCAATTGGTAAAATTATCGCGAAACAATAACAAATTTATAAATAAAATAAATGATGAAAAGATAAATAAAAATATTTTGAGAATATAAAAATGATAGATTTAGAGTAATGATTGATATGATTTATGAAAGGAAATAATAAAAAAAATTTGGATTTTTGATGAGGAAATCACAAAATAATTAATTTTATATTATTACACATAAATTTTAATTCAAATGTTAGATTAGACTAAAATTTTATATGAAATTACTTGATATATTAATTTATTTTTATTTAAAATTTTAGCTCAATTAGAGTTTAAAAAGATTTTGTCTGCAACCAGGTAACATGCATGAAATTTTAATTAAGGGCATGAAGGAGGGATATTTTTGTAAACAAGTGAAAAATCATCACTCTCTCCATTTATAATAGTTGGCTGAACAGCCGTGGTGAAAAAAAAAAAAAGAGATGAAGACTTTCTATTTTCTCCCATAAATCTCCAAAATTTCTTCTTCAAGTGAATAATATGGCGATAAAAAAAAGGTTAACAAAGTTTTTTGTTGTATTTTAATAAATTATGTATATTTATTGAGTAATACAACAAGATAACTAATAAGAAGTGTATATTTATGTATATTTTTTAGAAAAAAAATTATAATTTAAGGAATTTTAAAAGGAGTGGGATAATGATGATTAATAATAAGTATTAACAAAGAAAGGGATTTCATCAATAATGGGTGAAAATAAAATATTATATTAAAGTTTGCTATGAAATATGTACAAGCAAGTTAATGAAAATGATTTGCTAATGTAGATTGATAAAAACTAAACATCATGAGTACTTATATATGAATTAAATTCTAAAATATTGCATGTGTATCAGGAAATAATCTTGGAAGCTATCTCTTCTCAAAGGATTGACAAATTATTTAGTCTCTTCGACGACAAATAGGTCCTTGTAATGAAGAAAAAAAGTTTATAATTAAGATATTGACATGTAATATTAAAAATATTAAAGTTTATAATCAAGATATTGACATGTAATATTAAAATATTGAAAAACTTATTAATGTATAAAAATAAATGGTACATCCATATACATGATGTAAAAAAAATTACTTAAATTGTTACTTATAATATCGTTTGTAATTAAGTATAAGTGTATACATGAACAAAATTACTTAAATTGTTACTTATAATATCGTTTGTAATTAAGTATAAGTGTATTTAAATGTGCAGTTCAATACATGAATCAAATTAAAAAGACTTGATTATCTCTTAATAAAGAATCTAAATTCTAAGGTTTATTTTTATAAAAAAATCAAAATATAAAAAAGAAAAATACACTAAAAACATGGTGAAAAAAAATGTGTAAAAATCTAAAATTTCAAGTTAGAAATTTTTTCTTCATCATTTTTTTACAATTAATTTTAAAAGATAAAAGATTAAAGAATTAATTTCTATCATTATCGACATTTAATTAACTAATATAAATTAAGGATTAAATATAAAAAAACTAAAGATTTTTTAATAGAAAAACTAAAAGTTTTTTAAACTTATTTTTTTACTTACTCATAAATTATTTAAATCATATTAATTAAATAAATTCCTTCATATTTTATAGCTGGGAAATTGTTGTAATTTTGGGTGTTCGAGTAGGGTGTATTTGAAAGAGTGAGGAAATTATGTCTGATCATGGTGGGCTTTTTATTTTCCCGTGGTCAAATCCCCTAAGTTTATCTTTCTTTAGCTTACGTGAGTTATTTGTTAATCTTTTTGGCATAATTAGTTGAAGTAATTATATGGAATAATTTGTTGTAGACTATTTATACTTTGGTAAATAGTATAATTAATTCCATATACTATTTATATGGAATTAATTACACTATTTATTGAAAAAATAAAAAATAAAATGCACAGAATGCCTTATTTCTGTCATGAGATAGAAGGCAAAATCTCGCTGGCAGGGCTCCACTTGTATACTAGCAGCGTAATAAGTCTGATTTGTCCTGTGTTGATGAAATTTTTTTATTTAAATTCAATTCTTTTATATTTTTAAGATTGTTTTGATATATAACATTTAAAATAATTTTAAAAAATAAAAAAATATTATTTTAATATATTTTAAAAAACAACTGCCACCACATTTCTAAACTAATTATAATTTTATTCAAATGAGGGGCCGGCAATGAAAATCTGACCCAACCCGTTGCCATCACCCTCGACTCATTCTGGGAATCTTATGCGATGGGTGAGTTAGCATGCACATGAAACTTGTTTTTTTGATAGTACCAGGCCATAATTAATTTCTTTATACCTTTCCTTTTCACCATTGAAAATGACATCAAATTGATATGATAATACAGAATCTTTCTCGTTTGAATTCCTGGTTAATTGCTCTTTGTTAATTATCTCTAGAAATCATCGAGCACAGATCAACTTGAACTCATTTTATATTCAGTATAAAACAAGACAAGGGTTGGACATCACTAAGTCAAGGGCTTTGTGAGGACGGAATCTTTGAGAGAAAATCATAACCTTTCTTCTTGTATGGAGCCACATCCCTCAACCAAAATAAATACCACAGTAGCCAGGCCGGTGTAGTATCTTCCTTGATTAAAAATTCAAGCTATCGAATCGCCCTGTCAACTCCAGGTATGGTTATTTTATTCATTGTTATAAATTTTGAAGAAGAAAAAAAATTATTTCAGGGCAGAGTTCTCATCCGAGTTTAACCAGTCATGAATTAACCTTTCAGTATCCAATTTCTGTTTTCGAAAGAAAATTTTATCCGCTTTAATAACTACCACAATTACTACCACTTATGATAGGAGTAACAACGGCCATCTGATTTTTGTCTAGAACTACTGGCAGCAAAATTACGGGCCAGGTATTCTTTAGAAATTGACCTTTTGTTGGCTTCTCTTGATTCTTCCTTTCTCTGTATTACTCTATCACTGATTTTATCTTCTTAGACTCACCACAACAGGAGCATTGAGATGGAAGTGAACAACAGGTATATCACAATAACGAAACACATACAGGGTTCGGCAAAGGAGTCTGATTTCGAGCTCAAGGTTGCACCTCTTGGATTATCGGTGGAGCCTGGTTCCAATGACATCATTGTGAAGAATCTGTGTGTGTCAATTGATCCTTACCAGCTTAACCGCTTGAAGAGTTACAGCTCCACACAGAAAACAGTACAAGCTGCAGTTGGTATCGCTCCCGGTCAGGTAAGTACATCAATTTACTATATATAGTTTCAGAATAAATATCCTTGTTGGAGATTATTCAGATGGAGCATTGGGTTATTTCTTTCTCTTTGCCAGCCTATTGATGCTCCTGGAGTAGCCAAGGTTTTGGTTTCTGACAATCCTGAATTTGTGAAAGATGACTTGGTTGTGGGGTTTGTTCACTGGGGAGAATATAGTGTAGTAAAAGGAGGCATGTTAAAGAAGTTGGACCCAAAAACTGAACTACCGTTATCTTATCATGCTGGAATTCTAGGTAATCAATCACCTGTCTTCATTTTTTGGAAAAATTAAGAAATCACCAGCATAGTAATGATCATCAGGAACATTTGTTTGATTTGCTCACTGATCTTTTCATGCTACAGGATTAAGTGGACTAACAGCCTATGCTGGGCTGTTGGAAATATGCAAGCCCAAGAAGGGAGAAAAGGTGTTTGTATCTGCTGCTTGTGGATCAGTTGGAAATTTGGTGGGCCAGTATGCAAAACTTTCGGGTTGCTATGTAGTTGGATGTGCTGGTAGCAGAGACAAGGTTAGGAATCTGGTTTAGTTTTGTATTTCAATCTGAAGATTTTTCGTGCTGGGATTAAAATCTTATGTTAGCGTATCATTTATTTAGGTAGCATTGCTAAAGGAGAAGCTTGGTTTTGATGATGCTTTCAACTACAAGGAAGAAACTGATTTGAATTCCGCTCTCACAAGGTTAGAAACATCAAAATCAATATTTCAGGTTATGATGTCAACGAATAAGGAAAAAGCTTCAGCTTATGAAAATCACTCAATGTGAAAACTATAACAAGTAAAAATTGGAAGTTGAACGTTGAGCATGTTCTACGTTGCTGCAGAGCATTCCATGTCTAATATGGACACTTCGACACTCCAAATACATGAAAACAAACAAGAAAATTTGAAAAATAGTCAAGTTTGACTATTTTTGCTTTTATCTGATAAATCATTTGAGCTTGCTTGTTGATTCCACATTAATTCCACAGGTACTTTCCTGATGGGATTGATATATATTTTGACAATGTTGGAGGTGACATGCTAGAAGCTGCTGTTGCTAATATGAATCCCTTTGGTAGAGTAGCTGCATGTGGAACAATTGCTGAGTATTCAGATGCTGCAAAACGAGCAGCACCAAATATGATAGATGTTATATACAAGAGGATTAAAATCCAAGGATTTCTGGCCATGGATCACATGAGCTTGCATTCAGATTTTCTTTCGACAACGACTGAATACATTAAGAATGGCAAGATTAAGGTGCAAGAGGACATTTCTAATGGTGTAGAAAGCATCCCCTTAGCTTTCATAGGACTATTCAGAGGTGATAATGTTGGAAAGAAGATTGTTAAAATTGCAGATGAGTGATTAGGAAGAGAAAACTCATTTTGTTTTTATGATCAATAAACTACAAAGAATATTGCGACATTGTTGATCAAATTAATTGTTGTCTTTTTTTTCTCCTGTGTGGTGAATGATATTTTGAGTATTATTTTTTTGGGATAATTACAAGAAATCACCTAAGGTTTCATCACCTTTTTCACTTTCTAGTTTTGAAAATTACTCTTTACATGGATCCAATAAATCAAAAGATGAAATGACCTTCATATAGAATATATGAAATTACCTGTACGTTATACTTTGCAGTCCTTTTCTTGTTCCGCTTTCTCTCTTTAGAATCATGTTCTCTCCTCTCTTTTGATCTAAAAACAATTTATCCTTGTAAATTGAATCAAATAACAAAGTTTTTTGAATGTCACATGTTCTAGATCTAGATGCTGTGAAGCAGACGAATAGGACAAGGATGCACCCATAGAAATTGAAGATGAAAGATGATGTGAAGCCATAAGGTTATATGGAAACCGCAAGAGATCCCAAATCAGTTGGAACTTGATTTTTTAAAGATGGGCTAAACTGAAATATTGATTGGAACATTGAAATTTTAAGAAATTCTCTGGAACTTCGAAATTTTGATCAAAATTCTCTGGAACTTTGAAATTTTGATTAATTAAGCAAGGTGGGTTTTGGGTAGGCATCGATTCCATTGCTGATTTTGAGTGTTATGATTGCGTGTCTCTTGTGATGATAAAGTCATGAGTGGTTCAAGTGGTCACCGTCTCTGATGTTTTGTTGAAAACTAGAGCAGAAAAAAGTCATCACTCGACTTAATCAACTCTGTTGCATAGACCAGGATTTTTGGATAGCACAGCAGGAACACTAAAATGGAAGTGAGCAGCAGGTATATAACAATCAAGACTCACGTGCAGGGCTCAGCTTATGAGTCTGACTTCGAGCTCAAAGTGGCATCACTTGGACTGTCGGCGGAGCCTGGTTCTGATGAGATTATTCTAAGAAACCTATTTGTATCAATAGATCCTGCCCAGATTAACCGCATGAAGTGTTACAGCTCCTCACAGAAATCAGTAAAAACTGAATCTGGCATCATTCCTGGTCAGGTATGTCATCACTTTATTATCACAGTACAACTTGATGCTGCAAAGCAGCCCTCCCTGCTGCCTCCTTTCTATCACCAAGCAAGCCTAAGTTGCTTGTCATCTTGTCTTTATTATAATCACTTAATGGATGCCGTTTTTTTGTTTTTATCTAGAAAAGGAAATTTATCTAGTTAGAAAATAAATTGTAGAATATTTAAGGTGTTGTTTTGTAATTGGTTGTTGTTACAATATTTTAAAATTTTGTAATTGGTTGTTGTTACAATATTTTTTTTAAAAAATAGCTATTAGAAATGTTACAGAGCTTTCCATAAAACATCTAGCTATCACAAAATTAATTATGAGAGTTTAAAAAACCTGTAATATCAGTTTAAAGATCAAAAATTAAAAAAATATAAGTAAAATTATGTCTTTTTAATATAGAATAAAAAATTTAAAAATAATTATTCAAACTTTATTTTTACCATAGACAGAGGGTTCACATACTATAATTTAATGAATTGATACATTCATTATCATTTTTTTAAAATAAAATAAAAAATCATACATATTAATATCCAAGAAATTGTCCGAAAACATTCTTTTATATAGAAGAGTTAGAAACATAAAAAAAGGTGCTAAATGGAGGCATGACAATTGATGGACAAAGTATTATTTATCAGATTTAAATTTTAAAATACAGTATTTTTTTTTTTATTATCATGAGTGGTTAGGTTAATTTATTTGCATCTTGATTAATTCCACAAATTTTGATGTACTTCTAGAAAATAAATTCAAGATCTGCGATACCCCTCAAAATTAAAATACAGTAATTTTACTTTAGCGAGCATGGTTGTTTTTTTTGGACAGCCTATTCAAGCTCTTGGTGTAGCAAAGGTTTTGGTTTCTCATCATCCTGAGTTCGTGAAAGATGACCTGGTTGTGGGATTTATACACTGGGGAGATTATAGTGTGCAAAAAGTGGAAATGCTAAGGAAGCTAGACCCAACAATTGAATTCCCATTATCTTATCATCTTGGAGTTCTAGGTTACTTCCTCTCTTGAATATTAGTTAAAATCATAAATTTATAATATCTACTGTATTGCATTAGATTAATAATATCTCAAAGCAAAAATGACATATAGAAGAGTTAGAAACATATTTAATTAAAAAAACAAATATATATAAATAGATTTATTCATGTGACAGTTTACATCTTTAAAGTAATTTTTTATCATGCTATCTAAAGATATATTTATTCTATTTTTATTATCTCAATCTTTTATATTGGAAGCAGTAATCAAATAATCTTTAATATATTTTTTACTACTTTTTTCAAATCAATACTGCCAGAATTCTGCCTATGCTCATTATATATTTTTTCCAAACATATATATATACGTGTGTGTGTGTGTGTGTGTGTGTATATATATTGTTGTGTGTGGTCCTATACTATGTGATGGTGGGACCACCACATTAATTTTCATGTGATGGATGTCTCCTGATGTTTAAAATTAAGTGGTTTGGGTATTGTAGCGGAAGATTGGAAAATAGAAAAGAAGAGAAGAAAATCAAGAGAGAAAAGGAGAAGAAGAGGCAGCAGAGCAGCCTGTGTTTTTCCTTCGATTTTCAGCTCGTTCATCATTAGATCGGGCTGAGATTTTGACAGCAGCTTCTAAACACGTTGATCTTCATTCTGGACGGTCGAATTGAAGATTGGTGGTGTG